TTTCACAGCAAGTTGTGCTTCCAACCTCATAAACTTTTAGCCATTAGCCAAATTAAATGAATTTTACTTCTCCATATTAAATGAGTGGAGAACAGGGAGGGAAACAACATCATGGGTGACAGCTGTTCCTTCATCTGTGTATGCTCCCCCCTTCCCAAAAACACCATAATTACTCATCTCTTGGAATGAGAACAACTTCCAGAACAGGCATAAGGGCAAGAGGCTGCTGTGTTTGCTTGCTTTGGCCAAGTTTATCTCTACTGTGGATCAGAAGCAGTTCTTCCAGAGATCGTTCATTGCAACACCTTCCTTCTGGGGGTAGCTACTTTCAGAGATGAATGGGACTGCCCCTTCTCTCTCCCTCTGCCCACCAGCATTCCTTTCCTCCCCTCTGCCAAAAGCACTCTTTGGTAGAAAGTAAATCTGGTCAGATCAAGGTATAGTGGCCACAGAAGCCATGCTGTTTCACATGGGTACTCAGTAAGTCAGCTTTCTTGGCCAGTGTTTCACCTCCCACATTCTCTGCCAGAGAAGTACCTGTTCTGTTGCATTCTGATACTTAAAGGGACACTGTCAAGTAATCAAGTTGAAAAATATGACCCGCCTTAAGATGTTAACTTCCATCTTCAACACTGCAGAATGGCCAGTATGTTCAAACCCAAAGGCTGAAGTTTGACACCTTCTCTGCTCCAGAAACACGTGAGCTGTGGCAGCCCAGCTTCCAAAGGAGCTGGGAGCCCATGTCTGCCCTGCCTGCAATAGAAGCTGCAAGACGTGCTGGTACAATGAGGGAGGGAAGTTGAATGCAGCCATTGTGCAACACTGCTCAGCACTGCTGCTAAATGGATGCAGTTTGGCTGAAGTCCTTATCTTGATTTGGGGAGGAGCTGGGTTCAGGCTTGATCTCTACGGGTTGTTTTGGGATTGTTGAACTGTTGCTCCTCAGTTAGCTAATCTCTGGATTTTTAGGGTTCCTGCTCTTATGCTTCCTTTGTGGCAGTTGCAAAACAGCTCAACCCCATAGAGTTGGGACAT